GGGTTTTTTTTTTTTTTTTTGGTCATTGCCATTCTAATGGAGGTAAGGTGGTGTCTTCCTCTGATGCTTAGATCAAAGGACCTCAAACTTTGATGTTCATAAGGGTTGTGTGTGCCCAGGGTTTACTTTACTCTGTGGGAGACTTAAGGAATTTCTCTTAGTTTTTTTTTTTTTTTTCCCCTCTCTTACTTCCCTCCCCCCAATTTTTAATTACACATTTCATGTGTTGACCATAAAGCTTCCCCACCCAACCACTCTGCTACCACATGGAAGTATCCAGTATGCTCAGTAGGCAGATAGCATTTTCTTGTGGAGCCACAATGAATGAGTAACCATAGGAGACCCCCTGGGCAGGGATAGTTCTTGTCTACGGTCCTCTGCTCCATGCCAAGAGCATGCTTGAGTTCATTGAGCTCGTGTTTGTTGGCAGAGGGGCAAGCTATGTTCTCCATGTTCTCTCTGTCCAGCCATGTTCTTTCACATGGCTCATCTTTCTGATCCCCCAATGACCTGACAAGGTGTGCCTTTTCATCACCCTCTTTCAGATAGGAAGAGGAAGACTGCCAACTCAAGGAGCTGTCAGGAGAGCAACCTAGCTTTTCCCTGGGAGAATAAAAGGGTGGGATCTGGGGTGGGATGAGCAGCCCTGGTTGTGTGTGTCTCTGGAGGACTGTGTCCTCCCCTTTCCTTTTGCAGACTGAGGGAACCCGACTACAGAAGGACCTCCGTACCTACCTGGCCTCTGTTAAAGGTAAGGGGTTCTGGAGCAGATCTAGCCTGGGGGCCTTCCCCCTCCCCTGCAGGGTAGAGTATAGTGAGGGGCCCTGCCCAACTCAGAACTGAAGGCTACAGGCCTGAGATGAGGTGGTAGGGCCAGGTCTGGGCTGGAAAAACAAGGGTTGCAAATTCCCTGGGCTGCTGGGAGTGGGGTAGATGGAGGAAAGGTAGCTCCCCATCCCATACCCCATAGCCCTAGCTACAGTGTGACCTCTCTCTGCCTACAGCCATGCACGAGGCCTCCAAGAAGCTGAACGAGTGTCTGCAGGAGGTGTATGAGCCCAGCTGGCCTGGTAGGGATGAGGCAAACAAAATCGCTGAGGTGTGTGTGGGCAGCAGTCTCTACCTCTTCACAGAGATCTTTCTGGGTTCTCCCTCTCCCACTCCTGTACTCCCTGCAAGTCACTGCCCCTCGCTGAGGGTGCTTCTCATGTGAAGCCTGGACACTGAGCTGGGCTGTTGTGAGGATTAATTGGAGGGCATAATGTGCTGTGATGTTCCTTTTCTGTGTATTGTGTCTCATGACTTGCAAAGCCCCCATCAGACCTGGGCTGATCAGATCCTCACAGTCATGCATGGGAAGTCATGAGACAGGAATTGTTACCCCATTTTATTGGGGAACAAACAGAGGCTCTGAGAAACCATAGAGCTGCAAAGTGATGGGCTGGGGCTGACCCCAGATCTCAACTCAACTCTGCTTCCAGGCCCCTAGAAATGGAGGCTTCCCAGGGGGGCATGCTCACTGTTCTTGGCTCTTTCAGAATAATGACCTGCTCTGGATGGATTACCACCAGAAGCTGGTGGACCAGGCACTGCTGACCATGGACACATACTTGGGCCAGTTCCCTGACATCAAGGTGAGAGACCCCTCTTTGCTATGACCCTGCTTCTGGCCTGCAGCATTGTTAAGGGAACTGGAAATGAAAAGAAAGACCAAGGAGTACAGCCAGGGGTGGGCCCGGGACAGAGGTAACTGACCTGAAAACAGGCACCTTTGCTGGGCTGGCATTTCATTCCTCCTAGAAACCATACTCTCTGAGGCATGCCCTCCTTGCCCTGATACCTATGACCTGTTTTGGGAGTTTCACACTCTGTCCTTTTGGGCCTCAGGTCTGCGGGAGGGGACACCGTGGTGTGTGTGTGTGTGTGTATATCTTTGTACATATATGTGTGTGCATAATGGGTGTGTATGGTGTGTGATGTGTATATGTATGTGAATGGTGTGTATGTGTGTGGTATGTGTATGTGTGTGGTGGTGTTGTGGGATGACTGGTTGTTTGACAGGTGTCAGGTGTGAGTGTGTGTGTGCCCAAATGCCCCCTGGGCTTGTGCTACATGTCTTGGGGAGGGTGTACATATGATCTGTGTATGTCGTCTTTTAACTGGTTGTGTGTGTCTCTGGTGTACTTGTGTGGGTTGTGGGTTCCGAGAGCCAATTGCCCCTGCTGTTTGGGGCCCAGATACTTGCAGGAATTATCAGTGTACTGTGCCTCCACCAGGCAAGTGAGGCTCCAGAGACTGCATCTCAGAACAGCGAGGTCTGGAGCCAGAGGGTGACCATTGTGCTGGGCCTGTGTCAGGTCCCCTAAGCAAGGCTGTGCCCCATACTGACCCCAGGGCCTAACCATGAAGATACTCAGTGGGGAGGCTGAGGTGCTTGTGGGGATGACAATGAGAGAATGGGTACAAGGGGCATCTTTCAGGCATTGAGGGCAAGTGGAGAGAGGCTAATTACACATAGTACTGGCTGATGGTACTGATAAATCAGTTAATGTCCTATGCAAATGGTTTGATTTCTTGGGGTGAGCTCCTAACCATGAAGGGTTCATGCAACAGGGGCTCACACATGTATCAGAAGGGAATTTTGAGCCCCAAGGTCCTACTGCTCTGAACCATCTGGATTCAGCTGTTTTCCATTTGCCATGACCAAGTTTCTTTGCATCCAGCCTGGAATCAGCATGGGTCCTAGGACCTATTCAGTCCCCACCCTATCTATTCCCCTAGTCACGCATTGCCAAGAGGGGCCGGAAGCTAGTGGACTATGACAGTGCCCGGCACCATTATGAGTCCCTTCAAACTGCCAAAAAGAAGGATGAAGCCAAAATTGCTAAGGTAAGGTGGAAGGTTTGGGCAGGGGGAGAGTAGAGTCCAGGAAGCCAGGGATAAGGGCAAATTGTCCCACTCTACTTTATATGCCCAATTCAGTTTACACATCTAATTATCCTGTTCCCTGGGCCATAGGCCTGCAGAAGTCATCAGCCCCATTGACAGAGACAGGATTACTAGTTCAAGGTTGCAGAGCCTGGGAGGGGAAGTGCCAGTGTGGATATGGGGGCTGAGGTGGTGCTGAGGCCCAGGGTGGGAGAATGAAAGGGCCCACATGTGTATTACCTTCTGACCTCACTGGCTCCTCTGCCCACTCTGACGCCATGTTCCAGAATGAGCACAGGCCTGCCTTGGGTTTCATTTGAATGGTATCCACTCTTCCTAGTGTGGTCTGAGTAGAATTCTGTCAGGGATATCCAATGTGACCCTGTTTCACCTGGAATCACCCTGTATCACTCTGGGGCAGGACCATGCTTGCTGAGTCCCTCTACTTTACTAATGTTTCTCACATTTTGCCTTTGCAGTTGGAGTTCACCATGCTTCCCCACCCCACCCCGTGGGCTCCCCATTAATTCTCTTGGCCTCCTAGGTCACCTAACAGGGAGGTGTCTTGCTTGTCTGTCGCTGCACTGGGGTGTTTGGATTTCATGTTTAATATCTGTGTCTCTGTTTTTCTCTCCCCCTCTTCCTCTCCTTTCTCTCTACCCTCCTTTGCCTTGACCTCCCTCCCACCCGCTCTCAGCCTGTCTCGCTGCTTGAGAAAGCTGCCCCCCAGTGGTGCCAAGGCAAACTGCAGGCTCATCTCGTAGCTCAAACTAACCTGCTCCGAAATCAGGTGACACTGGCTTCTAACCTCGCATGTGCTGGCACCTTCAGGTCTATTGTCCTGTCTGTCTTCCCCTCCATGGCCTGGAGGAGGGGTCAGCCCCTTTCCTGGGCTAGGTGGCTGGGCTAGATCTGAACCTGGGCCTTGGGGCTTCCAGCTGCTAAATGGCAGCCCAGCAGCCTCTGCCTGCAGGCAAATGTCTAAGACAGATAGAAGCTGAGGTGCTCTGGCTGACATGAAGAGGGGGTTTGGGGTCTGTCTGCTCAGTGCCTTTTTTGGTGGTAGTCACGAGATTCCTCCATGAGATTTAAATAGGATGGCTATGAGTCCCCTGTCTTCTATAAAGACTCTTCAGGGTAGGGGCAGGATAGCAACAAGTTTCCTGCCCTGATGTGAGTTGTCCCACAGCCTCATAAGAACTCCAATTATACTGAATTTCCACATAAGACCTGCTAGCCCAGGAGGGGCCAAGTCTCTTGCTCAAGTCACAGAACTGGTTAGTGCCAAGGTTGGGGCTCAACTGACTCAAAACCCTGAGGTTTTTTTCTAGTGCCTGGGCCCTGCCACAATTGGACATACTTTCAGGGGACCCAGAATCTGTGGACTTCCTTGGGTGGGGAAGATCAAAAAGTCCTTCATTCTTGTTGGGATGCTGAGACCTGGGGAAACCTCTCCAGAAGTTCTTGGAGAACAAGGACTCTGTAGTCTGGGAGGGCTTCCTGGAGGCAGTGCTTTGTCAAAACTCCTGTGTAGTGCTATCCCTCTGTCTATTCTGCTTTTCTCAGGCCCCTACCCATGAAGCATAGTCTGGCAGGACTGTTGGGCACAGGGCCCCAGGAAGCAATGGAACTGGTGTTTTTTTCTCTCCAGTGACACTGACTCAGGTTTCAGTTCAGCAGAGACATATTCTGACTGACTTGGGCATCCTTCCTATCCCAGGTGGGGAGGGATAGCCAGATGGGCATGGTGGGTTTCTTTGCCTCTCTCTTTTGCAGACTGCCGGTCAATTTAATCATCTTTAAGCCACACATACTGAGTATAGAGAGCTCTGGGATATGTATAGGCTTGCAGCCAAATTTATTACCTGACCTGCTGCCTGATTTCTTCTAGGCCAAGGCTGTGGGCTGACTTTGGAGGCCCTGAGCTTCACCCTGAGTGTGGGGTGACCCTGGTCAGGGGGAATTGGCCTATGGAGCGTTCTTTGATAGTCCCAAGTCCTCTGCCTCAGGTGAAGGAAGAGTGTCTCCCAGTTCCAGATTTTTTTTTAATTTTTTTTTTTTTTTTAGTTGGGTGAAAGTTTACAGAGCAAATTCATCTTCCATACAGCAGTTCACTTTGTCTCATGACATTGACTGGAATTTCCCACAATGCAACTGCTCCCCTCCTACTTCCTTCCCATAGTTAACTCTTCCCTGTGTCCTTCCCTTGCCCTGAGCTGTCTCCCTGTGCATACACAGCCTTTCTATTCTCCCATGATCTCTCCAAGGGGTGTATCTGCCTAATGTAAATGTTCAGCTCATGTGCCTGTCTTTTGTTTGGCTGGAAGCCACAGGAGTGGGTTCAATTCTAGACCTGAAGGGCAGCTAGAGGCCATAGTCTGAACGGTTCCACCAGGCTCTATCAGACCAGCAAAACTGGTCCCCCCCCCCCTTTTTTTTTTTTTGTGATTTTGAGTTTTGTTTCACATTGTTCTCCCACTTCCAAAGTTTGGTTTTATAGCTGGAGAGGGAATGGGGCTACTAAGCCCAAGTCAGAATTTTTGCATATTTTTTCTTCTTATAACAAGTTTGACAGGAATCTTGGTAACTGTCCTTTGGTGAGTTGGAGCAGCCCCTGAGAGTCTGTGGGGCCTGCTTTTAGGCTCCTTGGAATGGCACCCTGCTGGAGGGCCACTTGCCCTACCCTAGTTGGAGCAGCAAGAGAGTCTCAGTTGGACCTTACCACCCTGCATGGTGGCTGCAGATGTTTTGCCTTTCTGCCAAGTTGACTGTCCCATTTGGACTCTGTTTTCATTTGAGCATCTCTTTCTCAAGGCCCTGCTCTTGCCTCATGCCTCACTGGTACATATAAAGCATTTGGGGTTAACCCATGGGCACCCAACCACCTGGGAGCTCAGCCTCCCAGTGCCTGGAGTACCCTGCAGGTCTGATCTGACTCTGGGGAGACAGTACATCCTCTTGAGGCTATGCTCACTGGATCTGGCCTTGCTCTAAACTTGCCATAGCCTCCTGGAACCTAACAGTCTTGTCCAGACCCTGTAGCCCTAGCTAGGAGGGCAAGTGGGCCAGTTTCAGGTTTGCTAACCATGCCCTCAGCATGCAGTGCAGCGACAGGTGTGCCAAAGCCTCCCTTGCAATAGACAGGCATCACTCCTTGCCACTCTCAACTGCTGGAAATAGCTAGAATGTGAGGAATAAAAGATACCTGCCCTGACTTCCAGGAACTCTAAAGTGAAGCTACCACCCCACCCCACCCCGCCCTCTTTGCCACATTGCTGAGACATGTGACCTTATGGCACATAGAAATAGGTGATCCAGTAACTGCTGTCACCATTGTCACCACCATTCTCAGGATTATTCATTTGAGGAGTTAGGACAGTGTCTGTGAGGCAGCAGCTGCATACATCAGAGATCTAGTCTTTCTGAGAGGTGATCTCAGCTCTGCCAGGAGTAGGTGGTCAAAGTGGGTTCCTGGAGGAAAAGGGATTTCCCAGATGCTGAGTAATCAAGTGTAGGATAGCATGCAGCACAGGGAGATGCATATGTCTTCACAGTTGGAATCACTCATTTGTCAGATCCTGGAGTTCCCCCCGGAGAAGTAGGGCAAGAATGGCCTGACCAGGGTCTAAGGAGGAGCAGGAAGAGTCAAAACTCCCCATCTAGTGTTGGGGAAGGGTAAGATTCCTCAGGGGCCCTCAGGTCTAATCCATTCCAAGAGACTGAGTCATGTGTATTTAAGTATACATATTTCTCCCTAGTCTATATTTTTATTAGGTTCTACAAAGTTAGGGAAGGAGCTCATTCATGCTCATTCTGGCAATTTCTAGCCATCTGGGGGTAATTGTAGTAGAATAGTGATGGCCTCTCCTCCAATCCCACCACTATGGTCACCACAGCCCAAATGGGGTCCTGGAGCATGGGGCCATGGGGCTTTGTCCTGGGATATGGGGCCAAGGGACTTGGTCCTGGGGCCTGGAATTAGATGTAATAGGTGGATGGCCAGGAGGAAAAATGTTCTTGTGAAAGTAGGCATTTGTGCCAGCTAGCTGTCTTTGTCAGAAGGTGGTTCTGCCCTGGCCTGAGAACATTAGGCTGAGGCTGGTGGTGGGAACTTTTCTTCCCTTAGGCCTAGCATATTCCTGAGCTGTGACTCAGACCCTGAGACCAGGTCATCTCCCTAAGTCAGCATTTCCTGCCCTCTAGAGTTGAGCTAGCAGAGCCTTGATCTGTGTTCAGCCCCTTGTAGGGTACCTGTTGCCCACCATCCCATGCTCCTGACTCTGCATTGATGGCCTTGGCCCCATGGCCTGGTTGGGTGTGAGCAGGAGGGGAGCATGCAGGCCTAGGCCTGGGGGAGACCTGTCTCATGCCACAGAAGGTGTTAGAAGTGTTCATAGGCACTCTCTCTAGCAGCCCAGACCTCCATCACAGGCCTCTGTCCCTACTTCTCCACTGCCTTTCCTAGATGGACCTGAGTTGCTGACTCTGGCCTCTGTCTGGAAGACAGGGAGAGAGGAGGCCCTAGGTGTAAGGGTGGGGGCTGGGAGGAGGGGTGGTTGATAGGAAAGGCTCTTCCAAGGAAATAAAGTGTAGGCTGTGGCTGAGACCAAGTAGGAGCTGGCTAGGAAAGGAGGAGGAATATTTCAGGGAGCTGGGTGACAGAGCCTGAGAGAAAGCCAAGTGTAAGTGGCAGGTTACCCCACAGATGGGTCTGGACCTTTGTCCACAACACTTTTCAACATACTCTTCTTGCTCAGTACCTCCCTCCTAACCTACCTCGGCCTTCTCTTCCCAGAGAAGGCCCCAAGGGATTAGTTGTAGGGCTTTGGGGGGGCTGGGGTGGGAGGTGAGCCTGGCTGTCCACATTCACTTCAGCCTCTGTCTACACCAGATTCCTGGTCCTAGAGAGCTGAAGTGAGTGAAGGTAGAGGCCTTGGGGGAGGACTGGGCTGGGCTGGCTGGGACAAAGGCCCTGCAGAGGGGAATGACCTACCCTGCCTCCAGGCCGAGGAGGAGCTCATCAAAGCCCAGAAGGTGTTTGAGGAGATGAATGTGGACCTGCAGGAGGAACTGCCATCCCTGTGGAATAGGTGAGGGCAAAGGAGGGAAGCTCCTGGTGTTCATCATGGCTGGGTGAGAGGCAGGCCCAGAGTGCCTGCCTGTTTCTCTGTGCATTTGCCTGCTTGTCTGTGCACATCTACACAACCCTGTGCTCCTCAGCATCTGAGTGTCTCAGGTGTGTCTGTGTGTAAGGGTGAATGTGAGTGTAGTGAATTGCCCCTGACCTGGCCGCATGACTTCTGGCAAGTATGTGAGTGGGCAGCCCTATGTGATGAAGGTGCCCCTCTGAGCTGGCCATGTGGATCTCCTGGGTGGGTGCATGAGGGAGAGACCACAAGAAGTCAAAGTGATCCTCTGTGCCTGCTGCATGATGCCCCTGGGGGGTGGGGAGTGGGAGTGGGAGGTCACTTGTGAAGGTGCCTCTGAGCTGGCTGCATGGCTCTCAGGAGTGGGCCTGGCTGGCCTGTGTATTCACCTTGCCCTTTTCCCTCCTCTCCCCTGTAGCCGTGTAGGTTTCTATGTCAACACATTTCAGAGCATTGCAGGCCTGGAGGAAAACTTCCATAAGGAGATGAGTAAGGTAGGCCCTGGCCAGCTTGAAATCTCTCCTGACTCACCGCCCTCTGTGTGGTTTCCTGCTTTTTTGGCCTTCCTTTGTTTCCTACCTTTCCTCCATCCCTTTTAAGATCTGAGATAACTTATGGACCTTTTAAGAAACAAACAGGTATTACAGGAAGGAAATATTTATGAAAAGTTCAAAACTCAAACTCACTGCGGTAGAGTCAGATGTGACTCACAGCGATCCCTCCTTGGGTTTCTGAGGTGGTATCACTACAGAAGTAGGTTCCCAACCTTCCTTCCAAGGAGGGGCTGGTGGGTTTGAACCACTAGCCTTCTAGTTAGCAGTCAAATGTCTAAGGCACTATGCCACCAGTTAGTCCATGGGAATATACGCTACATAGTGTTAATAAATGGGAGGAAATTCAGCTCTGACGTTCTTACTGGCTAAGACAAAGAGGGAAATATCTTTGTAATGAGAGTCATTATGTGCATGGGTGGGAGCTCTGGTAGCACAGTGGCTAAGACACTTGCCTGCTAACCAGATGGCCGGCGGTTCAAACCCACCAGCCACTCCTCAGAAGGAAGGTTGGGCAATCCTACTTCCGTAGTGATACTGCCTCGGAAACCCAAGGAGCGGTCGCTATGAGTCGGGTTTGACTCAACGGCACATAACAACAACAACAACATGTGCATGGGATAAGCCCTGCTCTTTTGATTATGCTTTGGATGAAATTACTGGCATTTGTTGTGTGACATGAAAGCATTTTTATAAAGCAACTATTATTCTATGAAAACATTATTTCATTTTTAATTCAAAGACAGTATAAACTTTAGGTAGCATTTAGGAAATCACTACAAGTAGAAAAAGGGAAAAGGTCATCTCCCAAAATAAAAGCCATTAGTAATAGCCTACTTTGCTGTGTTTTTCCCTGTGAGTATGTGTGTTTTGGGTGCTATTCCCAACAGTACTGATGGGAAAGAAGAGCTTGTTCCTGGTGGGGCAGGGGCTCAGGGAGGATCTGTTAGGGAAGAAGCATAAATATTACTGGGGATGTGAGGCAGTTCGTGACCCTGCATACCTCTGACCTCCTGCTGTCACTCTCTGCAGCTCAACCAGAACCTCAATGATGTGCTGGTCAGCCTGGAGAAGCAGCATGGGAGCAACACCTTCACAGTCAAGGCTCAGCCCAGGTGGGTGGGCATGGGGAAAATGTGGTCTGGTAGCTCATGCAAAATAACTAGGCTGGGCAGGCCTTGTTCCTGAGTGGACAAGCGCTAGGAGTCTGGGGAGCTTTTTGGCTGGCTTCCCTTTGCTTAGGGAAGCAGGTGAGGGTGGCCACTGTTCTACATCCCTGGTCCTCAGCTGTGCTCCACTGTGGGAGGTTCTTTCCCTGGGGCATCTCTGCGGGTCACCTGGGCCTATGGTCTTTATATCCTCACTGGTGGAGCAGAAGCAGCAAAGGTAGGATAGAAATTCCTGCTCAGCTCTGCAGGTGGGAGGTGCTCACAGGTGTGGAACCTTCTGGAAAGTAAGCTATCATTTCAAAGCCCAGGTCCCTTGATGGTGGTATTCCCCACCCTGCAAAGGCTCTCTTGTTCCTGTCTCACAGCCCCAGCTCAGCCACAGAGGAGATTCCTATTCCTGAAGGGAAACCCTGATTAGGAGGGGGATGCCTTACTCCTCTCTGGCTGTGGGGCATGGGGAACAATAGCAGGGTCTAGATGTCCTTTCCTTTCTGGCTGTGTATGTGTATGTGCATACCTGTGTGTGTGTATGTGTGTGCGTCCATGTCTGTCTGTGTTCCCATGTGTGCATGTTCCACCAGTGTGTGAAGACCATCAATGGACTTGGCTTTTTTTTACATGTAAATCAAATTACTATATCTAATTCTTGGGGTGGTTGGGGCTATTGACTAGGACTAAGAAGGCATTTGGTGAATGTTAACTGTCACTCTTCTTCCCCTAAAAACAAAATATGTGACTGAGAGAGGGGCCTTTAAAGTATCCTATGACTGTCAGAGTGCCAGGGAATGGGCTTCCAGGTCAGTGCTAGTAGGGGTCCTGTCCCTTTGCAGTCCACCTACCTAGCCTGAGTAATGGTGGGTATTTCCAGACCAGTGAAGAGGATGTTGAACAGCAGCTATTCTAGCAGTACAGACAGTTGGGAGAACTGCTGGGAGTTCTGATCCTGTCTCTGGGCAGCTTCTTGCATCCAGGGTGTCCTGGAAAAGCATCTGGGGTCTGAGAAAAGCAGTGGAAGTGAATCTGGGGCTGGGGTTGGGTGCTAGGTGCACAGCCAGCTTGCACCTTGCTTTCTCCTCTCCCAGGTCCCCTACTGGTGGCTTACCCCCATGGCTTCCTGGCACATGGCCACTGAAGCACCTATGGGTTGGGACCATAGGATCTGCTTTCCTGAGCCTGGCCCTGACTTGAGAAGTACTCTCTTCTTTCTATTCTTCTGTCAGTACCACCTGAGGGCACCTCTAGTTGAGCAGCATTTGCACGCTCCCAAACAGGCCAGGCCTCTTCACGGCCTCTCATGGTTGTGGAGGATTTGCCCCTTTGCCCTCCTCTGAGCTGAGGATTTACTGGTTGGGGATGGGGACAGCCTAGCCCATATCTGACATTTCCCCATGATGAAGGCCTCCATGCCCCATCCATCCCACAGAAAGAAAACTAAACTGTTCTCCAGGCTGCGCAGGAAGAAGAACAGGTACCAGCAGTGAGTGCTATATCGTAAATGGCCCAGCAGGCCTCTGTGCATGTGCCTGGTCCCCTGCCCTAAGGGTGCTACTAACCCGCAACTGCCTTGTGTGTAGGGTTGCTCTGGACAGGGCCACATAGGAGGGTGGCCAGCAAGGCTGTAGTGCCAGGACTGGGCTGTGTGTGAAGTGTGTGCTGGGGGATGGGTAGGATTGGGGACTGCTGGGTGGAGTGAGGCAGCAGGAGGATACAGTTTGAGTGACCAGTTCAAGTTAACAAATACCTTTTGTGCCCAATGTGTGTTTAGCAAGCTGGGACCAGGAGTGGCATTTACAGTTATACAATGTAGTGAGGAAGGAGGCCTGGGAAGGGCCCAGGGAAAGGGATACTGCAGCAGTGTTGTTATTAAAAGTTGTATGTGTGTGTATTATGTGTAAATTTGTGTGTATATATGCATACATATGTGTGCATATATATGTGTATACACACACATATACAAATTCCCATTAAACACACATTCATAAAAGACAAACAGGAACATAGTGATTTGCCTCCCATGTCTGTCCCATCCAACTAATCCCCACCCATCACAACTGGTATCCTTATTACTGGTTTCTTTGGTATCCTTCTATACCTGCACTGTCCCACATGGTAGCTTGTAGCCACAGGTAGATATTGAGCACTTAATATGTGGTTAGTGTGACTGAGGAGCTGAATTTTTAATTTAATTTAAATGTAAAAAGCCATCTGTGGCTAGTGGCTACTCTGTTGGACAGCACTGTTCTGGGACTTCTTTTTGCAAGTACGGAGAGCTTGTCTTTCTCTTTACACAGAAGTGCCTGACATGCACACCTCTGGATCTTGTTTTTGTTACTGAGCAGTATGAAGTGTAGGGTACTTTCCCATTTGATCCCTAGCTGTTGCCCCTCCACTCTGGAAGGCACTAAGCTATGGTGGCTTTTGGGAGGCCCCAGCTTTTCAGAAGGGAAAGTAGATAGAGAGGCACAGGGAGGTGGAGGAAGTAAAGGCTGTGGGAGCAAAGGTGTGGAGAATAGACATACTGGGAGCAAGGAGATTCCATGTGTGAGTAGCAAAGGTGGGTGGAGGCCAGCCTGCACTGGATCATGCTGTGGTGTGGGACATGTCCTGATCAGGGGAAATTGTATGAGGTGTATTATAGAACTCATTGCCCTCTAGGATGTCTGGATTCTGGTGCAGCCCATTTGGGCCCTGTGAGGAGGCTGGCTAGCCTTTGATTGTGGTTCCCAGGAACCTTCCCTAAGTCCGTGGGGCCCTCAGGCAACCAGCTCTATGTTCTGTCATGTGCTGCCACCATCTCCAAGGCAGGACCTTGCTGGGGATGTGTGGAGTCTCACACTATTTTACCCCTACTCATTCATACAAACACACAGCTTCACATGTGGACACACAGGCACATTATCAATACACGTGTGCATATAACTCCAAATATGGATACATGGGGTTCATACCCACACACATACACATAATTTCACATATGAGCACACACTGTCAACACACACTTGTATATACAATGTCACACAGGGTACATGAGGCAGATAACCACACACATACACTTGACTTTACATATGGATACGTTGGGCACATACTCAACATACATATGCACATAATTTCACACATGTACACGTGGGACACATAACTTCACACATGGGGATGCACATCAGTACATGCATCTTCACATATGAGAACATGAGGTGCATACTTTACACATGTGTAGATACTTTCATACATAGACACATACTCAGTAAATATGTACACACATGTAAACACTTGCACATCTTTGATGTTGTTAGGTGCTGTTAAGTTTCTGACTCATAACAACCCTAAGTGCAACAGAATGAAATACTGCCCTGTTTTGCACCATGCTCACAATTGTTGGTATGTTTTACCCCATTATTGTACTCAGTGTGTCAATCCATCTCATTGCAGGTCTTCCTCCTTTTTACCAAGCATGATGTCTTTCTCCAGGGACTGGTCCCTCCTAATAACATGACCAAAGTACCAGAGGTGAAATCTTACCATCCTTGCTTCTAAGGAGCATTCTGGCTGTACTTCCTCCAAGATATTTGTTCATTCTTATGGCAGTCCATGATATATTCAATATTCTTTGCCAAAACCAAAATTCAAAGGCATCAGTTCTTCTTCAGTCTTCCTTATTCCTTGTCCAGCTTTTGCATGTGTAGGGTGTAGCTGAAAATACTATGGCTTGGTCAGGGCTACCTTATTTCTCAAAGTGACATCTTTGCTCTATAACACTTTAAAACGGTCTTTTGCAGCAGGTTTACCCAATGCCATATGTTGTTTGACTTCTTGACTATTGCTTCTTTGGGTGTTGATTGTGGATCTAAGTAAAATGAATCCTTGACAACTTCAGTCTTTTCTGCATTTATCATGATGTTGCTTATTGGTCCACTTGTGAGGATTTTTATTTTCTTTATGTTGAGGTATAATGCTTACTGAAGGCTGTAGTCTTTGATCTTCATCAGTAACTGTTTCTAGTGCTCTTCACTTTTAGCAAGCAAGGTTGTGTCATTTGCATATCACTGGTTGTTAATGAGACTTCCTCCAATCCTGATGTCTTGCTCATCTTCATATAGTCCAGCTTCTAGCAAAATTTGCTCAGCATACAGATTGAATAAGCATGGTAAAAGGATGCAACACTGATATACACCTTTCCTGATTTTAAACCATACAATATCCAGTTGTTCTTTTAGAATGATTGCCTCTTGGTCTATGTACAGGTTCCACATAAACACAATTAAGAGTTCTAGAATTCCCATTCTAGAATTCCCAATGTTATCCATTATTTATTATGATCCACACAGTCAAAGGCCTTTGCAAAGTCAGTAAAACAGAAGTAAATATCTTTCTGGTATTGTTTGTTTTCAGCCAAGATCCATCTGACATCAGCAAAGATATCCCTCATTCCGTATCCTCTTCTGAATCTGGCTTGAAGTTCTGTCTATGTGCTGGTGCAACTGTTTTTGAATTATGTTCAGCAAAATGTCACTTGTGTGTGATAATAGTGACATTGATAGTTGCTACAGTCTGTTGTATCACATTCTGTCAGTTGGCCTGCCAGCAGTCTTCCAGATTTCTTGGTATAGGCGAGTGAGCTCTTCAGTGTTACATCCGATTGTTGAAATATCTCAGTTGGTATTCCATCAGTTCCTAGAGTCTTGTTTTTCATCAATGCCTTCAGTACAGCTTGGACTTCTTCCTTCATCATATGCTACCTCTTGAAATGGTTGAACTTTGTCCAATTCTTTTTGGTACAATGACTCTCTGTGTTCCTTCCATTTTCTTTAGATGCTTTCTGCATTGTTCAATATTTTCCCATAGAATCCTTTAATATTGCAATTTGAGGCCTGGATTTTTTCTTCACTTCTTTCAGCTTGAAAAATGGCATACACGTTCTTCCTTTTTGGTTTTCTAATTCCAGATCTTTGCACATTTCATTATAATACTTTGTCTTCTCAAAGACTCTTTGAAATCTTATCCCACCTCTTTTATATCATCATTTTTTCCCCTTTACTTTATCTACTCTAAGTTCAAGAACAAGTTCAAGTCTCTTCTGACATCCATTTTTGTCTTTTCTTTCCTTAACGACCTTTTGCTTTCTTCGTGTCCTTGATGTCATCTCACAACTCTTTTGGTCTTCATTCATTGATGTTCAATGCATCAAAATCTATTCTTGAAGCTAATTCTTTAAATTCAATGGAGTAAACTCAAGGTTATACTTTGGTTCTTATGGACTTGTTTTAATTTTCTTCAGCTTCAGCTTCAACTTGAACTTGTATATGAACAATTGATGGTCTGTTCCACTGTCAGCCCTGGCTTTGTTCTTGCTGATGATATTGCCTCTTTCCACAGATGGAGTCGACTTCATTCCTGTGTATTCCAATTGGCAAGGTCCACGTGTATTTAACAACAACAAAGAAAAAAACAACTCACTGCCGTTGAGTTGGATCTGACTCATAGTGACCCCTTCTTGGGTTTCTGAGGCAGGATCACTACAGAAGTAGATGGCACAATCTTCTATTTATGTTGTTGAAAAAGGTATTTGTGAGGAATAAGTCATTGGTCTTGCAAAATTTTTTCATGCAATCTCTGGCATCATTTCTATCACCCAGGTCCTATTTTCCAACTACTAATCCATCTTTTCTGTTTGCAGCTTTCATATTCTGATTATCAGTAATTTTTAATACATCTTAATTGCATGTTTGGTTGATTTCAGACTACAGAAGTTGGAAAAAATCAAGCCTTAGTGGTTGGTGGGTAAATTTGAATGACAATTGTATTTACTGGTCTTCCTTGTAGGTGTGTGGATATTATCCTATCACTTAAAGGATTGTACTTGAGTATAGATCTTGAAATGTTCTTTTTGACTATGAATGTGATGCCATTCTTCTTCAATTTGTCATTCTTGGCATAATAGCCATATTATTGTCCAATTCAAAATGGCCAATACTAATCCATTTCAACTCACTGATACCTAGGATATCAATCTTTATGTGTTCCATTTCATTTTTCATAATTTCCAATTTTCCTATATTAATACTTTGTACAGGAGCTCTGGTAGCTTAGTTCCTAAGGCACTTGACAGCTAACCAGGAGGCTGGCAGTTCAAACCCACCAGCCACTCCTTGGAAAGAAGGTTGGGCAATCTACTTCTGTAGTGATACCACCTTGGAAACCCAAAGAGAGGTCGCTATGAGTTGGGTACAACTCGATGGCACATAACAACAACAATACTTTGTACATTCCACGTTCTGATTATTAATGCATATTTGCAGCTGGTGCTTCTCATTTTGAGTCTTGCCACGTCAGCAGATGATGGTCCCAAAAGCTTCACTCCATCCACATCAGGAAGGTCAACTCTATTTTGAGGAGACAGATCTTACCCAGTTCTATTTTGAATGCCTTCCAACCTGACAGCAGTCTTCATCCAGCATATATCAGACAATGTTCCACTAGTATTCATAAGGTTTTCAGTGTCCAGTTTTCTCAAAATTTCACCACTACATCCTTCTTCCTCCTCTACCTTAGTCTGGAAGCTCTTCTGAAACCTGTCCACCATGAGTGATCCTGCTGGTATTTGAAATACCTGTGGCATAGCTCCCAGCATCACAGCAACATATCAGTGGCATAACTTCCAGCATCAGAGCCACATGGTGAGCCACCACAGTATGACAAACTGACAGATGAGCACACATCTTTACACAACACTATTACATGTGCATCCATGAGGCATACATCCAGTCATACACATGAGCACACACATTCCACATGTAGACTCCCATGGGTGTATACTCATGTACGTGAGTCCACATATGCACACAACTTCACATGCATACCTGCATATTTGCATGTCCTCTGTTATGCCATGGCTTCCCTCCATTGTGTCGCTCTCTTTTCTTGCCTTCATAGTGAAAATGCCCCTGCCAAAGGGAACAAGAGCCCTTCACCTCCACCAGATGGGTCACCTGCTGCCACCCCCGAGATCAGAGTCAACCATGAACCAGAACTGACTGGCATGGCTCCACCCGGCGCCACCCTCCCCAAGTCCCCATCTCAGGTAGGCATAGAGTTTCAGCAGGCTGTCCCCTCTGCTCCTTCCCTATCCCCTTGTCATGCCTTAGTTTTCCTTCCCATCCAGTGCTCCATCCAGGCTTGGGCCTGAGCTGGTTTGAAGCCAGATCTTTGGCCAGCAGAGGCTAAAGGAGGGGCTGGGCTGAACCTGTCTCCCTTGGGCATGCCAGCCCAACCATACCTCAGTGGCCCTGGTCCCTTCCAAGGGAAATCTGTTGCTGCCTTTCTTGAGTGTCCCCACACTGCCCTGCTATGGCACCCTCCTGTCTCCTCTCTCCTTGACTATTGACTGTTCAACTCTTCTGTCTTCCTCTCCTTCCTAACAGAGGCTCTGAGCCTTCAGGCTCCTGGAGCATCTGGAGTCTCTGGAAGTGTCTGCCTTTCCTATTTCCTCACTTCTGTCTTGCAGGAGCTGAGTGAGGTGTCCCAGCCTAGTGGCCATGCAGGACCACCTTTAAAGGACAGATAGGGTTCAGGCAGAAAGTGTGAGGTGGCTGAGGGGGTAAGCCCTGTGCCTCTAGACTGACCTCTTCTGGGGAATCCCTCCTCCTATAATCCCCTCCCCAAACTAGGCTTTTCTGGGTTTCTACTGAGCCCTGAGGAGGCACTGTCATCTACCGAACAGCCTTCTCAGAGCCATGGGTGGGTGTTTTAAGATCCACTGAGGTCTTAGAAGCAGCTCTCTTGGTTCTGTGTTGCTTCCCTGTTTTGTGCCTGATTGTGGTACAGAGCTGGCAAGAAAGCCTATCCACATAGCACTTCTGTGTGGACACTGGGACAGCACTCTGAACATCTTTACTCATTGACTCTTCACAGCCACCCTATCAGGTAGACACTGTTGTTACCTCCATTCTCCAATGAGAAAACTCAAACCTAATGGGTGGCATGGGATCTTCTCAGCCCCTTGGACAAGGCCTGGCCCCTGCTGGTACCACAGATCACTGAAGAGTGGAATAGTGGAGTAAAGAGTGAAGGAAGAGTGGAGGATACATGGGGAGAGGCTGAGGCCTGGGCTGTACCTCTGCTACTGTTTCTTTCCCAGCTTCACATTCAGTGAGTTGGAGCCAAGACACATCCCACAGTGTGAGCTGCAGCCTGGGCCACCTCCTGCCCCACCTTGTCCTGCCTTGCCTTGCTTTCCCTCCATTCCCTTTCTTTCCCTTTTCTTCTCTCCCCTCTTCTCCACCCCTGCCTTTCCTTTTCTTTTCTCCTGTGTTTCTAGGCTCCTTACCTCATCTCCTTAGGGGTGGTGCTGTGGTCCTGGTATTTGTGACCCCACATTTGGTCTTCCCTTAGCTGCCTGGATGGGACTGTGACCCAAGTGTGACTAACCATGATTTTGTCTCTGTCTGTCTGCCTCTCCCCCTTCACTCCACTGTGCCTCCCTTTGTGGCCCCTGCTGCCAACCCACAGCTCCGGAAAGGCCCACCAGTCCCTCCACCTCCCAAACACACCCCATCCAAGGAGGTCAAGCAGGAGCAGATCCTCAGCCTGTTTGATGACACCTTTGTCCCTGAGATCAGCGTGACCACCCCCTCCCAGGTCAGCCGCGGCTGCCGCGGCCCAGCTCCTCTTGCTCGCTCAGGACATGCACGGACTCACCCTCCATCCCACGCCTGTGCCTGTCTCAAGGGCCAGGAAACTGGCCAAGATGGGCCCTGAGCCTGTCTTGTTCTCATCCATCCTCCCTCATGCCTGTCTCTCATCCATCCCTGCATCCATCTATATCTGAGCATGTTGTATGTCAGGCAAAGCAATGAAAGATGCCTGCCCCACCCTTTAAGAGGTCACAGGCCAGTGATGGCCTCAGAGTGTGACAGTGTCTGTGGTAGAGGGGAGTGTGGTTGAAGATTGTGGGAGCATAGATGATTTGAGAATGATTAGGGCAGGCTCTGAGAGAAGGTAGATAAGAGCAGAGAGAGCATTAGAAGAGCCTGTGTATAGGCCTGAAGGGGTGAAAAATTCGGGTTCAGGAATTTGCTATAGTTCAGGTGGCTGAATATGTCACTGTGGGTGATAGTGAGAGATGATGGTAGGACCATCGTTGGGAAGACCTTGATGTCTGGCTGAGGGCACTGGTTCTGACCACCTAGAACTTCTGACCACAGTTTAGGTGTTGGCAGTGACTGAGCTGCAGAACACAGTTGCCAGGTGTAAATGATCTATGAAGTCATTTAATGCTCACTTCATATATGGGCAAAAAGAAGGCCCAAGAATGGGAGAGTCATTTGTGTAGAATCCCATCTGTTAGTGCTGAGGTGCGCAGATGAGTCATCAGTTACCACTTGAGAGGGGGTGCAGCTTTGCTAGCTTCCTACAGCAAACTGACCGCTAGACCAAGTATGTAGACCTCAGTGACTCCTTCTGTGAGTGAACCAGGTTGCCCTTCAAGCCTCTGCCTTCTGTCAAGCTTGGACATGGGGCCTGAGTGACAGGGATGGTAAGGACCCTCTCTGGAGCTTTGGGAGTCTGGACATTCTGCCACCTTTAGGCTCCTCTGTATGAGCCTGGAGCCTGGAGGGGAGGATCAGGCTCAGGATGACATTATGGAGGGAAGAAGCATTGGGGAATTAGCTTAGTGATCTCTGCTAAGATAGGCTTCTCTGGGAGATTCCCTTTCAATACAGAACCAATAAATGGTGGGTTGGCAGGCAATGTCCTGGTTCAGGTCTGGGAGGCCTCTGAACTCCTTCTATAAGATGCCAGAGGGAACAGTGGAATTGCCACTAAGGCTGCTTGCTGCTGTCCTCTCCACTGAGCTAGCCTGCCTCTGTCTTGAGGTGCCAGTGGTGGAGATGAGGAGAGAGAGGTGATATGAGTGCTGGCAAACACTTAACCTACATGGCTCTGTTTGGTTTTAATTGCTCTCTGGGAAGGAGTCATTGTCCCTACTTAATGGGGAGGAACCTGGATCCAGACCTATGTATGCAGTGTACAGCAGGGCCGGGCAGGGCTATATATGCTGGGCCTTGCATGCTCACAGCATGTCCCCCTGGCTGCCCCCTCCCACCCATCTCAGGGGCCTGGATCTCTGCCCCATCATGGGGTGCTATGCATGGGGTTGGGACTCACTCCTCCATGGGGGTGCTACTCATGGAGCCTCTGACTGGGGTGGTGAGTAGCTTAAGTCCCTGTGTGGAGGATGTCCTGCTCTTTTAACTGATGACCCACACCCCCTGGCAGCATGACAAGGAACAATGGTCTGGGCTTGGGCATGTTTCCTGGAAAGCAGTGAGGATGGAAGGCAGAGGCAGTGGCAGTGGCAGGGTGGTAGGTGACTTGTGGAGAGAAGTTGGCTGCTTCCACACCATGATGTCCTAAGTACTTGTGCCCTTAGAGAGAGACAGGCCACAGGGACAGAGCAGTGTCCAAGCTCACCGGTCGAGGATCTAAAGGAAAGCCAGTTGCGGAGAGCTAGGCTGTTGTAGGGGCTTGAAGTCTGGGCCCTCCTGGCTTAAGGAAATGAGTTCCCTTGACCTGGGCTCCTGGGGATTTATGGCTGAGCCCAGCATGGGACCTGATGCCTTGTCTCCCTGAGGTTTGAGTCAGTAGGTCCCTATGTCCTCAGAATTGAGATTCCCCAAAAACTTTGAAGGTTCTTTGGGGAACCTATCCTCCCATCCCAGGTCTTAGGCCCTTCAATCAGAGGCCATGGGGTGGACATGGGTCAGGGTTGCTGCCAAGAATGACAGGAGATAGAGCTGAGCTGGACTAAGGCCCAGGGGGCTGGAGTGAATAGGCTTTTCAGTGCCTTATTCTTTAAATTTGCTGGTACTGCAGAGAGTAGGCAGAAGGACTCTGGTTCAAGCCTGGTCTCTCCTCTGTTGGACCTGAGCAGAGTCCCCTTTGGCTCCAGAGAGGAAGACCTCATGTGGTGAGATTGAGACCTGAGATTAAGTAGCCATCCTCCTTGGAAGGCATTTTGTGCTGTTGTGCCCTAGACAGGGTCCACCCTAATGGATATCTGGGACAAACCTTTTCTCTGAGGATGTTCAGGCTCATCCCACAGTGGGTTTCTCCAAGGTTGGCCAGGGCCACTATGCTACAGCCTCCTGGGTTGACCATTTGGTGGGAATATCACAGGGAAACAATGGGTAGAAATAGGGTGAGGGTGATGATCTGCAGTTTGAAGACAGGTGCCAGGTAGTTCTGTAGTCCCTGGCATTTGGGACACACAGTTGGAAGATGTGCCTCCTATGCAACATGCACTGGTTTAGCCCTTACTTCTGCAGCTGGCTGGGGTGCACCTCACCTGAGGGTGCTTTTTCTGCATGAGGTGACTGGTGAAAGTGTGCTGCTGTGGCCTGGGGTTGTTTCCTGGGGGTGGGTACAGGGGAACAGAGTCAAGGCACAAGCATGGATGTCCAACACCACCCTGGATGGTGGGCTTAGTATTGGGCCTAATGAGGTGGCTGTCCAGAGGACAGAAGGGTGCTGGAGGGAGTATTTTTGAGGGCTCAAGATGACAACATTATGAGGATGGGAGCCTGTGAGGCCATGTGGCTGTCCATAGTGTTCTTGTGTATGTGTGTGTTTACTTTTGTCCATGTGTGCTCTAATCCTCGGACACATGTCTGTGTACCTGCTGTCCAGCACGCCTATTCTTTGTCACTAACTGCCTTCCTCTTCTGCCACTGCTGCCAAGTTTGAGGCCCCAGGGCCCTTCTCGGAGCAGGCCAGCCTGCTGGACCTGGACTTCGACCCCCTCCCACCTGTGGCGAGCCCTATGAGAGCACCTACACCCTCTGGTCAGGTTGGTCTGGGCCCACTGCCCTTGGGCATTTCTGGCCTTCTGCTGCTCATGTCTGCCTACTAGGTTCAGACTGTGGGGTTCCAAAGTTACTAGGATTCCTCCCCCATCCCCCGCCACACATGCACACTTCCGTGAGTGCCTTAGCACTGCCCCTTGTCATTCTGCAGCTCTCCTGGCCATGGAGAAGGGAGGAAATGGAGACATGGATCCAGCCTGGGAGGGCCTTCAGCAGGGAAGGGTTTGCTAACACATTCTTTCTTATTGGGCCTCTCACCATCCCAGCGTGTGGCACTCCCTATTCAGCTCTTGTAGGCTCCTGGAAAGTATCCTGGACTTGGCTGTTTGGAGGTCTTAGAGCCTAGCTTGACTGTGCCACCATACCTGCTGGGTTAGAGGGCCCTGAGGCAGGTGTGTGGGGGATGTTAATGACTGCTGCTTCCCTGTCTCCCTTCCTCTTTTAACCTCTGTGCTAACTCTGTCCTTCTCCCCTATACTGCTGCGCTCAGCCAATCCCGTGGGACCTCTGGGAGGTAAGCCTGTGTTTACTCTTTGCAGAGCCCACCTGCCCCTTCTTCCACTGGCCTGCTCTTAGGGACAGCACACACAATACACACACAGGCACTTGTGCCCATGCATTCTCAGGCATGTGCTCACACCTACACATGTGGCAGCCTTTTCATCTAGCTACTCCACTGCCCCTTCCCCATAGTCAGGGCCTATGAGAGGGTTTGGTGACCTAGCTTGAGGAGAGGCCTCCCCATGGCATAGGCCCTGTATTAGGCCTCTGTGATCACCTGGAGGGACAAAGGTGGGCCAAGCCTGTGAAAAGAGAAAGGCCACAGGTAGAAAGCTTTCTGTCAGCTAGGAGCCCATAGAAAGGTGACATTAGGTTGAAGAGAGGTATGGTGGTGTGGGAGAAGCAGGAGATTCAGGGTAAGGCTGAAATTCCCTTTGGGAGTAGGGCTAGCCTGGCAGTTACAGAGCTGGTTCATGAAGGCCATCATCATCTGACAGCTCAGGAATTAGAGGCACTGGAAAAATCCTACTGAGGTTGGTAATTAGTCTGTGGTCTTCTGCCTACACGTTGGCCAGGCCACTGGAGCCATTTGTGGGCCTGCCTTCCCCCAAGCCCTGTGGGGGCTGCTGGGCTCTGAAGGCTACAGGAAAATCACTCTGACATGTTGGGGCAGTGAGGAGGGTACCCTTCCAGATAAAGTTCTCCCAGGCCCCTATGTTAGGGACTCTACAGCCATGCCACTGGATCTTTAGAACCCAGCCTAAGTGCAGATGAATGAAGGTATGCTCTAGTGGGCCTGAGAGGAGAAGCCCACCCTGGATGTTGCTCAGGTTTTGGGTATGGAGGGCTGGGACCAAAGAGTGTGAAATAGGGCTGCAAGCAGAGGCTGGAAGTGTGAATGTTAGGCAGGCAGGCACACTATCATGATAGTGTTTCATGTTGGAGTGAGGAAGAGCCCCAAGGAAGCCTAGTGTGAGATGGGAGGGCCGTTTTGGCAGTGGATCTAAGTGGGGGCTAGTTGTGTACAGCAATTGTGCCTGTCCATCTTCCTGTCGTGGCAGGAAGGAGGCAGGAGGTGAGCATCCCTCTGGGGGTCACACCTGCCTCAGGCACGGCCCCTTGGCCATGTCTGCACCCACACTTCTCTCTGCCAGCACTGGGTCATTCATGACTTGATTATCTTCTCTATCTCATGCCCTTGTCCAACAATTTCTCTGGCCTCTCCTGCCTCCTTCCTGTTTTCTCCTTGTGGCCATCATTAGCCCACAGAGAGTCCTGCTGGCAGCCTGCCTTCTGGGGAGCCCAGTACGGCCCAGGGCACCTTTGCTGTATCCTGGCCCAGCCAGACATCTGAGCCGGGGCCTGCTCAAGTAAGTGCCCGCCCACCCTGTCTAACATGTCCCTGGTCTTCGGGAGTATATCATGAAGAAGAGAGCATAGAGGATGGACTCAGGATGGATAAAGCTGCTGTGGGCCTGAGGATGTAGTCCAGGCCCTAAGCTGAAAGCTCCAGGAAGATTTGCCTCTCCGTTTGATGATCTTGAGTTGTGGGCAAGCAGTTGCAGTTCTCTTGGAACTGGGCCCAGATCAACTCCTCCAACCCCACCCACCCTGAGGAGCATTTAAAGTATGTACTGGTTTATGCCAGGTACCTTCCAGAATTTTCTCATTTAAGCTTCATCTTAGTCTTGTGAGCGAGACATTGCCAAGGAAGAGGCTTAGAAGGTTGAGTAACTTGCCTGAGGTTCTAGAGCTCAGGAGTGAGTGGATGTGAATATGAGCTAAGCTAGCCTGACTTTGCAGCCTGGCAGCATCCACTAACTTGGGGGGACGTCTACCGAGGTGGCCCACCCTGTACCACATCCTCCTTGGGCCTGGGTAAGGGCTGGGTTTATGAGCAGAGTTGTGTTAGGGCCAAGAGAGGTGCATGCTGCCATGGCTGAGTGTGGGTCAGATTGGAGCAGGGCAGAGTGGTCTAGAGCAGGATGGAGTGGGCCCCATCTGGGCAGGGCAGAGTGGACAGGAGGAGGCTAGAGCTTGGAAAGGATTGGGCATCGGGGCCATGGCCTGCTGAATGTGGCTGGGGATGGTACCTTAGGGCCTGCACTAGTCTTCACTGCACACTGTGCCTGCCAGCATCTTTTCTCCAGCTGCTTTCTGTGCCAAGGCCTGACCTCTTCCCCAGGGTACTTCTTGGATTGGGTAGATCCTCACTCCCAGCCAGGCCTAATACCCTTGTTCTAGCACTTTGGAGGCTACCTTCCTGTGACCTGATTCCGTGTCTGGGTTGCAGTCTCCTGGCAGTGTCTGACCCATGCTGCATTTATATTGCAGCCAGGAGATGCCTCAGAGGTGGCGGGTGGGACCGAACCTGCGGCTGGAGCCCAGGAGCCTGGGGAGACAGCGACAAGTGAAGCAGCCTCTGTAAGACTCCAGGGACCAAGGTCCTGTCTTTTCTTTCCTTCTGTCTGTCTGTCTGCCAGTGGCTCCCTGTTTGGTGCCTATGTCCCTGGCCCTGTGCTGATCCAGTTCACCTGTCCTGGAACCTGGAGGCAGCCTGGTCTGCCATTAGGCATAGCCACCTACCCCAACTGCCTGACTGTCCTGTACCCCCTTTTTGCTCCCCTTTCTCCCGACCCTATGCTTTCTGTCCCCAGAGCTCCCTTCCAGCTGTTGTGGTAGAGACCTTCTCAGCAACAGTGAATGGTGCCATGGATGGTGGCAGTGGGGCTGGGCGCTTGGATCTGCCCCCAGGATTCATGTTCAAAGTGAGCCGAGGGCAGGACCCCCACCTAATTGTGCATGCTCTGTGTTTCATCCTTCTCCACACCCTGGGAGGCGAGTCACCCCATTTACAGTGCAGACACTAAGCCTTGGGAGGTGGTATGGTCAGCCCTGTCACATGGCTTCTCACAGCCAGGGTGGGACGTGAGCACTGGTCCTGTGGCTGCTGTGCACCTCTTCACCATTCTTGCGACCTCACGCTCAAATATACTGTAGACCTGGTGCATTGTGCAAGGCTGGATGTGGGACCCAAGGACCTTTGAGGGAGGAATGAGATGGAGTTCACTGTCCCCTGCTACAATCTTACCCCCTGCAGGTCCAGGCCCAGCACGATTACACAGCCACTGATACAGATGAGCTTCAGCTGAAGGCTGGTGATGTGGTGCTGGTGATCCCTTTCCAGAACCCCGAGGAGCAGGTGAGGGTTGGGAGGGCTCTCAGAAGGCTGCAGAGTGCCCACAGAGACTTCACTTCCAACTCACTGGTTAGAGGCTGTGGCTAATATTGGTAAGATAGGCCAGAAGGGGGTAGCAGAGGCCTGCCAGTGAGGGTGGGAGCAGCCCAGGGCTTTTGCCCTTCCTGTGTATTCATCTTGTCTTATCTTTTGTCTTTTCTTTTCTCTCATTTTAACTTTTCCTCCAATTGCCTCTCCTGTTTGTCTTCCTCCCAGAGTCTACTACCCCTGCATAGTCATATTTTCTTTTTTTGGTCCTCTGTCTCTGCTCAGGTCTAGGGACTTCCTGTCTTTCTCAAAGCTCTCTGCTTTTCTTTGTACTACTGTTCCCTGACTCCAGGCCCTCTGTCTTCCTCTGTGTTCTGTACCTGAGTTTATTTTTCTCCTTCTCCCTGCCTCAGGACACTCTCCTCAAGGCCTACCTTCCTCCCAGGATAGGACTTCTGTGGCTAGTCACTGCCTGACCCTGCCTTGTGTCTATACAACATTGTGTGGTTCCCTGCCCTAGGGGACAGTCCCCCACTGGTCACTGAGCACCCTGTGAGGTTCCCAGATGCCTCCAGACTCTTCTGCTAAAGTTTCTCCTTCTTAGTGAGTCTTCTCAAAATGAGTGCTCCTGCTGAGCGTGGGCTGGCTCTGAGCACATTCAGACCACACAGATCCTGGCAGGATTGTCCCTTCCAGGTCTAGATGTGGTGCTTTTATTCATGTAGCCACAGACCCTCAGCACAAGTCTCCCTGTTGGTGCTGTGGTACCTGGGTTGTTTGTGGAGTATGTTGGTGGTAGAGATGGTGGCCATGATGATATCAAGTTAACATCCAATTTAGTTCCCTGAGCACCATCACAAGACCCACAGGGGTCTCTGTTGGACTCTTCCTGTTTTCAGAGAATCCACTTAGATGTCAACATGTTAGTGTGAATTAGTTGGCAGTGTGAGGGCTGGGGAAGGGTCTGGCCAGGTTTGGGTTGTGATGAGTCTTGGATGGGCTGTGACTTGAGGGCCATAGGAGGAGGGGAGGCCTGAGAAACAAGTATTTCCTGAAGCTGTTGCTGAGTCACGCAGTTCTCCTAAATCCACAGATCTCCACTGATTTACACAGTGGGTAGGGTTTCAAGTAGCAGAACCCTGGTCCCTGGCCCACAGGGGTAGTTATCCAGGGATGGGAGTGGTGTTTGTGGCTCAGATAACTAGGGTCTGTAACAAGGCATATTATGATCTGAGTTTAATGACAAAGACCCAGGTAGTTCTGAGACCCAGCTGAGCCAGTCCCTATGAGGTATGGCCCAGCTTTGGGGGCAGGCATGGCCTTGCCATAGGGCAGGAGTTTATGGCTGCAATGGTCCTAGGGGTCAGAGCTTTGGCAACAGATATTGTCTAGGGGTCAGTTTTGAAGCCAAGACCAAGTCTATGGTGTTAGAGGGCTTGATGTGGTGGCTTTGGGCCACCCTGGATGTTTTAACTGGTCAAAACTCAATAGAACTTACTGGTATTGTTTTTAGAAAGTCTTCTCTTCAGGAACTTTTCCTCCTTGGATACCAGATGGTAGGAAGTTTCTTGGTGTGGGGCGAGGGAGTTGTTGAGGCAATGTCAAACCTGTATGGCAGTCAGGCCACAAGGACAGAACTAGCCAGGAGCAAAGAGTGAAATCCACCTGCCAAGGGTAGGGTGGCTTAAGGCAGGTGGTTTGAGCCTAGGCACATATCAAGGAGCCCCATTTGTAAGAGCCATTCTTCTGGTGGGCTCAGTGGGTGAAGTATTGAGGAGCAGGCCATCTTTCCAGCAGATCCCTAGGGGGGCGCATACATTGTAATGCTGGGTGACCCTTTTTTCTACCCCTTCCCCCTGTCCTTCACATGACCTGGGTGTTTGTCGCCCTTGTAGGATGAAGGCTGGCTGATGGGCATCAAGGAGAGTGATTGGAACCAGCACAAAGAACTGGAGAAGTGCCAGGGTGTCTTTCCTGAGAATTTCACCGAGCGGGTCCAGTGAGGCAGCCTGTGCACGCTGGGCTTACAGAGATTCACCTTTTCCTGAAAATGTGTGTTTCTTTTTTTTTTTTTTTCTTTCTTCGTTTTTGTTTTTAAACTTTGAAAAGCAAAGAGGGATTCTAGAGGAGAACCCAAAACTGAGAAGTGCTTTCCCAAAGGTTAGGCTCTTTCCTGAGACCCTTGTGCCCATCCAGTGGAGCTCACCAGTGTTCCTGAAGTTGCTGTACTCTGTAATGGAGCTCCCTGTACTGCCACTTGGGCTACTGCCCACGTGTGCACCTGGCTGGCTGCTTGGCACACAGAGCTGGACCTGGGCATCTTGCTGGGCTGGCTGCTGAACTGTCACGCTTGCCTAAAGTTTCAGCCACACCCCTGAGCACAGGTCCTCCTGTCCTGGTAGCTGCTGTAAGAGGCCCAGCGGGCTGTGGGGCGTGATACCAGCCTGCCTGGCCCTGCCCTGCAGATATATGTGTGCTGTTTGAAATATATCTTAGTGTTCAAAAGAAAAAAAACAAAACAATAATAACAAAAAAAAAAAAAAAAACCTGAGAAAAACACTCAGAAAATGCCTGCTTATCTTTATTCTCCCTCATCTGTCAGCAAAGACAAATGGAGCATGGTTATTTATGGGTTTTGTAATGAAACAACTGGGAGGAAAGGAGGTGGCACTGACTATGTGTGAGAATGTGAAGGAGTGATGGGTCACCAGTATGGTGGGACCTCCTCCTGCTAATGACCACAGCTCAGAGCTTACCTGACACAAGGTCAGCTGACAGAGGGGGGCAAAGGCTTCCAGAAAGAGAGGAGGCAGAACTGGTGGACAGGAGGCTCATTTAACAGCAGAGCCCCAGTCAGTTGTATGAGAACCTTTTTCCTTTTAGTCTTTTTTGGTCCTGACCGTACTAAGAGCTGTGTCCTTGCTCCCTGTCATCTTACTGGTGGCTAAACAGAATGAAAGTGAGGAGAGTTGGTCTATGTGTGGAAAGATGAGTGACTTGAAGAGCCAAATGTGCCAAGAGCCTGCTGGATGCTGCCCTAGGTGAGAATTCTGGAAGTCTGGTACTGGTACTACCATCTTACAGATGAAAAAACCGGCCCTGCTAGTGAGGGTAGAATTGAGACTTGAACCTGAGCAGTTTGACTCCAAATGCATGAATTCCTGAGTATGGCAGGTCCTGAGGACCAGTGCTGAGGGCAGATGCAGTGGCCGAGGGCTCTTTATCTCTGCCGCCCTTTCCAAAGCCAAGGTCACCCATATGACAACCCCAGGCTTTTCCATTCCCATCACTTGACTCATGGTAGTCTCAGCAGTCTACCAGCATGTGCAGCAGGTGGCCTGGATCAGATACAGGGCTGTGGGACTGGGAAGTCAGTCTGAACTACAGGGGGGAGAAATTATCTCTTCATGAATCTATAATACAGTAGAAGAAAGTGAGTGGGTGAATGTCAGAATCTTAGCTGTAATTTTGGGTGGAAGCCATGGGCTCTGCTTTAGGGGGGAGGATCCTAGTAGGTCACTGTCTAATAGTGTAGGCTCTGCCAACTGTAATTTCTGTGAGTAATAAAAATTAGAGTGAGGCCTGGGGAGCCCATTTTTTAGCTGTCCTTGTTTTGAAAGCAATACCTTTGCATTCATTCATTCACTCACTCACCTATTCCTTCAGCATAGACAGGTTAATTTTCCTTCCCAAGGCCACACAGCTAATTGAGGAGGAGGAGGATTGGCTGCCTCAGCTGCTTCTGAACCTGGGCTCATGTGCCCTGGGCATTGTGTGGTGAGAGAGTGTGCAACCACTATGCCAACATAAGGCAGCTGCAATTTTATTTCATCAGGACTTAAAATATTTTCACATAAAACATTACCAATGAGAAAGTGTTTGTGTTAAGTTTTACACAATAACTTTGAGCTTTACTTCCTGATCCCCAAGGGGTATCATGGGAAAAATCCCTGCTCTGTACTCCATGGCTTCCTTTGTTTCCTGAGAACTGCTGAGGAGCCTGCAAGGAGCTCAATGTGGCAGACAGGAGGGCTGAAGCTGGGGACCAGGGCTGTGAACTGGTCATTCCAGAAACGGCTCCAGGTTGCCATGCTTGCTCCATAAAAGTTAACGGCAGGCTAGCCTAAGGCATGAGCTGGCCACACCAGATATGTGTCAGTCTGAGGGGAGGTCAGAATAGGCAACCTGAACAGCCAAATTAGTGAACCATGGGTAGAACAGAAAACCAGGGCCAAGGCTGGGATAGGCTCAGAAACTGTGCCTGAGACTGGCTGGAAGGTGGGGAGTGGTGAAGTTCTGAGAAGTGCTGGTTGGTTTTCTAAACAGCAGCTGGAACTGCAGTGTTCTGGAGGTTTGTTGAGCCCTGGCTCTATTTGAGCTGATGTGTGGTCTTGGAGGCCTTGCAGAGCTTGCAGAGCTGGGCTCCTGTGGGCTAAATGTTGTCAGGTGGAGGCTGTGCTCATAACGGGAAGACCAGGAGCAACAGCTTTTGGAGACCATGGCTGTGGATTCATAGACTCAAGTCCTGGGTGTGGGTCAGGGCATAGGGTTTGGAAAGAAGGAAGTCCCAGGTAGCCCTCCTTCTTTGGCTCCTCTCCAGCCTCCAAGAGGCAGGGTGTGTGAACAATAGAGCTGGAGGGGTAGAGCCAGCAGTGGCAAAAGTGAGGCCTGCAAAAGGGCAGTCACTTGGGAGAGGGTTAAGGGAATGTGTGTGCAAGATCTCCAGGAGATGACCCCCAAGAGGGCCTCTGTGCAGGAGTCCAGCTTACCAAGAAGATGAGAGTCTCCTATAGAACTCCATGAGAATCTTAAGAAAATTGCTTTACTTATGTATTACTTTCCCCAGTACTTCAGATTGTGAGATGGGCAGCTCAAAAAATGACTGTATAACCATGTCAGTGTCTACTGACCACCCAGCACAAGCCAAGATTGCGTAAGTAGCCACTAATGTGTCTCAGAAGTCCCAGGCCCAGCTCAGGGAGCTCTCTGGGTATCTCTCTCAAGCCCCCTCCCAGACCACATAGTGGCTCCAACTGCCCAGTGGCTTGTCCCTTTAGTGTCTTATTCCTAGTTGGATTTGTAACCACCTGGTATGCTTCTAAGGAGACCTAGTGACACAGTGATTAAGCAGTTGACTGCTAACCAAAAGGTTGGCAATTTGAACCCACCAGCTGCTCTGCAGGAGAAAGATGGGGCAATCTGCTTCTGAAAAGATTATAGCCTTGGAAACCCTGTGTCACGGTTCTACCCTGTCCTACAGGTTTGCTGTGAGTCAAAATTGACTCGACAGCAATAGTTTTTGTTTTCTTGTTTGATGCTGCTTCTCTTGGTACCACTGGCCCAGAGACCCTTAACATTGCCTCTGGGAATTTAAGAATCCACACCCTGCTTCCCTCACCCACTCCCAACATTGGCTCATTCACCCTGCAAGCCAGTGCTGGGCTCCCCTTAGTGTCTGAAGTGGAGAGCATTCAGGCTGCAGCCCAGTCCTAGGGTGATGCCCTTACTCTCCTTTCCTCTAAGTGTTGACTTTGTCTTTGGGTGACTTCATAGACATTTCAGGTTTTCTTCTACACACTGCAGAAGAACAGGGGCTCTTTCATCCCAGAAGCTCCCAGTGACCCTCTCCTTTGCCACATTTGTCAGAATTAAGTTGTCATTCTTGAACCGGTCACTGTAGCTGGAGTTGGGACTTGCTGACTGGCCCTAGACAAGTAGGACCTGAAGCTGGAGACAGGGATGAACTGATTGGGTTGACACCTGAACAAAGCGGATATGGTTTCCAAGGAGAAGGGGGAATAGTTCTGGGAGTTCAAGCCATAGAGTGAATGTACACTTCACAGAGACTTCCAGAAAGGTCTATAAAACCAAGGACCTTGACTTTATGGAGACTGTATGTGTGTGTATGTATATATGACTGTGTGTATGTGTGACTGTTTGAAAGTGTATGTGAGTGTGAGTGTGTGTATGTGTGTGAAGTTTTATTTATTTATTTTTGGTTTATTTACACCTTCCAGTCTATTTAGGGCTGGGCTTAAGAAAGTCATTTTGTGACCAGGGAACACAATTCATCTAAGTCTCTTCCTCCATCTTCCAGAGGAATATTTATCTTCATGTTTATCTGACACCTCCATGACTACTTGTCCCACCACAGCATGTGAACTTCTTCAGGGATTTGGAGAATTGTGTGACTGAGGATACTCCTGCTTCTGTTTGGATCTATTCCTTGAGTAATTTCATTCATTCACTCAATCTATTCCTTGAGTAATCCATTCATTCATTCACTCACCCACCATGTTTCTTTTAGGCACTGAGAATCCAAAGAAGATTGAAATATGATCCCTACCCCTGATGCCCCTTGGTCTACATAGACCTGTACATACTGGTTCCTCGTGAGCATAATTGCTATGGTTATATGCCGTCGAGTCATCTCTGACTCATAGTGACCCTATGCACAGCAGAACAAAACACTGCCTGGTCTTGTGCCAGGCTCATGATCCTTGCTATATTTGAGCCCATCATTGCAGCCACTGTGTCTATCCATCTCATTGAGGGCCTTCTCATTTTACATTGACTCTCCATTTTACCAAACATGATATCCTTCTCCAGGGAATGGTTGCTTCTGAAAACATGACCAAAGTAGGTGAGGTGAAGTTTGGCCATTCTCACTTTCAAGGATCATTCTGGCTGCACTTCTTCCAGGACAGATTTGTTAGTCAATTTAGTAGGCTATGGTACTCTTAACATTCTTCTCCAACACCACAACTCAAAAGCATCAACTCTTCTTCAGTCTTCCTTATTCATTGTCCAGCTCTCACATGCACATGAGGCAATTGAAAATGCCATGGCTTGGGTTAGGTGCACCTTAGTCTTCAAGGAGATATCTTTGCTCTTCATCACCTGAAAGAGGTCTTTTGCAGCAGATTTGCCCAATGCAATATGTCATCTGATGTCTTGATGACTGCTTCCATTGGTGTTGACTGTAGAACCAAGTAATATGAAA